GGGGGGCTTAACCCCAGCATGCTGCTCAGCCACCACCTTATTCTAGAGTGAGATGCAAATGTCTTTTTATGGAAAGCTCAGAGGGGGATTTCCTTTTTGAGTTGAGTTCTAATTAGGCTAAATTAGTTTCGTCTTTGTCCATTAACTTAGAGTCAGAGGCCATGCTTTGAAGCATCCTTCCTAGAAGGCCAGATCGTCTTGGCTTAGGGTGGGGTGAGGCTGGGGAAATTTTCAATTTGAAAGGGGTTTTTCTTGGATATTGACTTTGAGTTTGTTATCTTTTTGGGTATGTTTTGGTAAATTTATACATGTATATATAAATACACCCGTTTCCTGAAATGCTGTAGTTTGAAAGTATGCACAATTTTTCTTCCTTATCAAAATTACATCAATTTAAGGAGAAAAAAAATTGGGACTTTGATAACAAGATACAGGGTGACCATTTGATATGGTGCTGCTAAATATCGATTGGAATATATGATGGATTCAGCAGCAGAGGCAGCTTTTTATAAAATACTGAGAAAAGACTTACATTGCACGGTGACATAAGCTCTTACTGTCTTTTCCTGTCTCACACCATTGCTTGCGATGCACACATATTCTCCAGCATCGTTCGTGCTACTACTGGAGATGTTCAGCTGTTTGGTGCCACACAAATGAATCCCAGATTTTTCCCATCTTATCTTAGGTTCAGGAAAACCCGTCGCATCACAATTCAAAAACAGAGGGGTTGACGTATTAACTGTTATATTCTGTGGCACTTCTGTAAACTGTACAGGAACTAGGCAAGAAGAGAGGAACAACAAAATTTTCACTCCACAGCATTAAAGTACGATTTGGTTCAAAACCATCCACTTCATACGCTATAGAAATAGGATTATAAAATATAGCACATGCATAAGAACAATATCCAAAAAAGGAAACAAACTATCATTATATCAGCTAATCAGAATTTGCATCAGTTTTGAAATACTCTAATGAAACCCATAAGTCTACAGTTTTTAGCAGACACAAGATAATTACTTTGGAATAATGTTCTGGGTTTTTTTTTCTTTTTTCGCCAAAATATGCAATCAGACCAAGGGTTAATCTCAAACTTGAAGCTAAATTGCTACGCGAATGAATGTACAACCTTATTAAGGCTCCTAAAAAGCTACACAAACTTACAAACTTCTTATGCCTGAAAACAATCTAGGGTAACTATGGGATGCCATTTCAACCAAATCATTGCTTTGTTTCTATTATACCCATGTGAATCATTGTAATTCATAATTAGGTATTGGTTTTTATCATTAGGCACCTGTTCATCATTGTTAGGCACAAGTTCGTGATTATTAGGCACCTGTCCAACGTTATTTAGCACAAGTCCATCATTATTAAGCACCAGTTCATTATCATCAGGCACAACTTTTGCTATTAGGTACCCATCTATTATTAAGCACTGGTTAAATTTTTCAAGATAGGCATCCTTCACCAGCATTTTTCCAAGTGCCTTGGAAAGAGCATTATGTAGCAAGCTGAGTAATGCTTGCGAGGAAAATGCCTCTTCAGCTGGAGAGCAACGCAAAGATGTCTGTAAAGTCAAACAACATCTGTCATAGTACTCAAAAATTCTCAACGCTGTTTCTACCCACCATTTATGTTAAGTCTCACAGTTGCTTCTGCTCCATCTCCAGCGTCATTGTGTGGGACACAGTGGTAGTCGCCATAGTGCTGAGATCGATTGACGTTGTTTAAGGTATACTCACTGTTGCTGTTCCCACTTAGGAGGCCGGCATTGAAATAGAACTTGTAAACTGACACTTGAGGCACAGCAGCCATAACTTTGCACTTGAATGTAACTGTGTCTCCTTCAGTGACGGTATTTTGTGAAGCATTGGTACTGAGTGTTGCACCTTCGGGTTTGTCTAAAAATGTAAATCAAATCAAAATCTTAATCCCTATTTATTTTATGGCTCATACATTCCCCCTAGTTCTAAAACATAACCCCTTGTAAAAGTCTAGAGGGTGCATAATAATGTAACAAGGAAGGGTTAAAGGCCCATTTCCAACCTTGATGCAACACGCGCCGCGACCTAGTTTCTTGTAACACCAAATTCCCAGGTCACTGAAAACCTTCTAAATCGTCTTTCTCAAGAGCCATCCTAGACATATAGTGAACTGTTCTATGGTAAATACATCCGCCGTTCGTCAGTTTACAGTTTCCTTACAGCATTTTGAATTCTGTCCGAAAGAATGCGAAGAAAATTTTAATAAAGTGTTACGCTTGGATCTCTTCGTACTCTGTGAACAGAGTAGGCGAAAAGGACAACGTTATTATTTTTTTTCACTTTCTAGAAGCGTTTGAGGATTGTAAATGAAGGTAGAATATTTCCAACGAAAAATCGGTATAGTTCAAAGAGAAATATGGAGTTATTTGAGGACCGTGTCCAGCCGTGTCATTGAAAAGCTTTTTAGTGTCAAGCGTTTGGATGGCTTCGTACTCTGTATACAGGGTTAGCGAAAAACATCACGTTCGAAATTGTAGGCTGCCTGGAAGCGCTTGAGGATTGTAAATAAAGGTAGAACGCTTTCGTATAAATATATATTTTGGATTTCGTTAGACTAAGATTTCGACTCTCGAGAGTCTCGCCTCGTAGAACTGCGTTTACACCGACCAGTCGATGTAAATGTTTCGGAAGGAAGTATTCAAGGATGCGCGGGACCTATGCTTTACCAATGGCGTAGTCTTCGTTGCAGAGAGAGGTTCATCAGCAATCCGTTTCATTGAATTGAAAGGCAAAGTACTTTTAAAACCCGAACACCTGAAATCGCCAGCTGATTTACTTTCGCAGCTTAGTCGTTTCAGCTTGTCACTGAGGGTACAGGTCCAGTTCTACGGAAGCGGTTGACGACACATCAGGGATCTTTAGCTGCACAAGTCGAGAAAAAAGAAATTGTTCGGATTAACCCACCTCTAAGTAAACCAGCTTCCATCTGTGCGGCAAGTAAGGATATCCTCTTGTGTGCAG